AAAACAAGAAAATGTGGAGACTGCCGCAGAAAATGGTTTTCTGTGAGAAAATTTGTGCTGGCGCAAATCTCTACGCTTCATGTCATTCATGCTCAGCAAGAGCTTCTTTTTTCTAGAAAAAAGCGTGCCACTGAAGTCAGCTCATAGAAATCAACTTATGATTATAACTGTATTTTAGAAAGGCACGGTTTTACGCCTATGAAAGAGTGGAGATAATAGCCATGAGCTCGCATGAAACACAGTTGCAAGTAGGAGATGTGAGTGATCAGTCATTTTCTTGATGTTGCGCTTCAATCAGCGAAGTTCCAGGCATCTGTTATCATCATGAGCGACGACGAAAGTAATGCTTCAAATATTTCTGAAGACCTGTTTCTTAACAATGAGGACAGTTGTGATGTAGCAGAAATGAAGCCAGGTAGTTACAAGCGTGGAGTACTTTACAGGAAATCGTAATTTTCAGAAGGAAGCAGTGCTGTGACGTTTATGGATATGCAGAGCTTGAATGATGAGGTATGATCACCTTTACAGCATGGATTTTTCTAATTGTTCCTACAGGAGTTGTTTTGCGTTCCAGAACGATGACAGTGTTGAGAAGAAGGGCATTGCTGCTCATAACACCGTAGCTCCTGAGCAAAGTACAACTCTAAAAAATGTAAAAGCCTTGGATGAAGAAGCTCACAGAAGTCCTCAAGACATAAAACCCTCCAGCGTAACGGATTCCGACTTGCGAGATAAAATGGAGGAGTCAATGAGTCGTTTGGGAAAAGACGCTGACGCTACGAGTAACTTTGTAGGATATTTCTCACTTTTCCCATAACAATTTTTTAGTTCAATACAATTCAGGGCTACTATATGCAATTAAAGAAAGATAAGCTTCGCTATCAAGTCAATGTTCTCGATCGCCCTGCTCAAAGGTCATCTGAGATATTCAAAGGGATTTCCATCTTTGTCAATGGTCATACAGGTGGGAGCATAGAATTGGGCATAGATTTCTTTTAACGTTTGTTTTTCTTTTCCCAAACAAGGCGATTTCTAAAGACTTCTGAGTGCGGCAGTCCTGACACCCAAAAAATTACTTCTCTTTTGATTTTTTACTATTTAGTCAAAATCTGTAGGTTGTATCAGTGGCGGTCCCAGGTCCGTTCGTGAG